GATTCTATGATTCCATGACTTGTTAAATCTCAGAGCTCAAGAACTTACAGTCTTAAGAGTTTCAGCAGGTTCCAAACAGTCGCTCTAGTTTCCTTAGGAAAGTGTCAGCTCTGGGGGCTGACATTGTCAACAGGTTTAGTGTCCCTGTTGCACTTCAGGCTTCTTGTTTTACATACTTTACACTGCCCTGTCCCTAAGAGATGCACTCTTGAGACATCTCCTACAGGCTGCACAGCTCCCAGGGAAAGCATGGTCTCCCCAGTCACCAAGAGGTTTCCCTGGATGCCTGCTGGAGCAATCCAGCAAACTATGGTAACGTTCCTCTCTACTGCCCCACCAGAGCCTTTGAACAGATCAAAACATACAAAAACAATGAGAAAACAGTGAACAAAACATACACCAGCTGAGCAATATTTTAGAAATTAAGAATGTAATTTTCTCAACATCTTCCCCCCCACCTCCTGGGAAAAACCAAGTACTTTTGACTGAAAAAGAGAAAGCATTTTGTTTGGGTGGTGGGTTTTTGTTTGGTTGGTTTGTGTTTATATATATAACTTGAATAAAAACATATCTCTGTTTCAGGGAAACCTCAATTAACCTATTTTCCAATCCAGGTATCTGTTACAGCAGCTTCACTGCACAAAGTTATACCAAGACTGTGCAGGAATCTGTTGCTACAGCACACGTATTTTTTGCAAGCACATTACCCTAGGACATTGTGATCTGCATAGAAGTGGTCAAGCTTACAGAAGGACGTCAGAAAGCGTGCCAGACAAGGACCACTATCACTTCTTCACTACCAGAGAGATATGTGTCATGATACCACAATGGATGAAAGAAAAGAGTAGAGAAAATGGAGTAAGTAAACTTGTATATCTTCTGAACCCCAAGAAAACAAAAGCTCCAAATATTTCAGGGTTACCCCCAATTAGCACACAACATCTTCAAAACAGTCATAAAGTCAAATATTTCACTACTTGGTCCACGGACATAATTTTTGAAGCTGCAGTAATAAAAATAACCTGGAATGATGTATTATTCTATTGAAATGGCAAGAAAAATCTGCTCCTGGATGAGATAATACAACATATCAGAGTTGCCATCTGAATTTTCAAAGGCAGATCATATAATAATCAAATTCAATTTCATAAGAACTCGTACAATGCAAGTTATGTGCCAGGTCCTACACCTGTAGAAATTAAAATCAAATTCCCACTACCATGTCCTGTCCAAACCATGGACCAAAATTCTGATTTTATTCCTCAAAAAAAGCATTTGTTTCAGTCTCTATTTTTTGTGGAAATATGCCAGCATAGTTTGGTGTTCTGCTAGAAAAATAAATATTCTGTGAGACACTTAAACAATTTCTGTCAAAACAACATATATAATTATCTTCCCTCCTTCTTACCCATGCTGTTCCTGGCCTTTGTAGATGTGCGCTTCAAAATTTCACGTACCTGTGGAAAAAAAAACCATTGATATAACACACAAATTTTCTTTTAGCATTATTTTCATCATGGAGCTAACAATAAAACAAAACTTTAAAATAAGAGGTTTCTCTAGAGTTCATTTGGACATACGTTCAAATCAGATGTTTCACTCATATACAAATGCATGACTTGAGGTCACTAGTTAAGACTTACCAATGCTCTGGCAACTCTTACTAGCGGACTGTTTGCCCTAACATTAGTAGCCTAAGTCCTGCTTGTAAAACTACCATGAAGTATAAGGACTTCAGGTAGAATGAGAATTTTACACTAAAGAAAATCACAGCAAAATCTGGCTTTTTAAAAAAAAAGCATTTAGCTTTCACATTTAGAAGTATAACATCTAGATGCACATAAAGTGATCAGTAAGCACGCTCTGTCTATGAAACCCAAGTGTGTATGGATGGACATACTATGGTAGGAAGGAGCGAGTAGTGAGTATGTAAGGAGAAATCTTGCCTCACCAATCTGCTGGACACCTAGCAGGATCACGGGAACATGATACAAGTTTTCTCACCAAAGACTGCTGGAGCTAGGATGTTACTATAGGATTGTGGAGGAGGTCCTTTGATGGAATAAAATCCAGTTAAAGATTAGGAAGCAGAAACTTTGAACAATGGACAGGGGTCA